TCCAACATTCTTGTTTCATTGGTAAGGAAACCAAAAGCCAAAGAACTCATATCACATGCCCAGAGTCACCGAGTAAAGATAAGAGCCCAAGCATCTTGGCCCCCAGCACATTGCTCCATTACACAGCTAACCTAAGAGGGACCAGCTCACCTCCCTTAGGCTACCGACCCTCCTCTTCCAAAAATATCTCAGAAGGGTAGGAGAGGCCTATAGCCAGTTTGCCTGGAATAACCAGTGAAATAGCTGGTTAGTTTGAATGGAGTAATCAGTGGCCATAAATACTTCCTCAGAAAAATGGGGTAGTCTAATGCTTCTTGTACTTTGCAGAGTGTAACTGGGACCCAAGGCATAATCAGGACTCTCAGCTGCAATATAACAATAGATAGGAGAAGGTACAGAAATCAGAGGATGAATACTGCAGTCAGGAATCCGCAGTGGGATGTGGTGATGCATGCCGGTATCCCGCATTCAGGAGGCTGAGGCAGGATTGCTGTGAGTTCAAGGCCAGCCTGGGCTACATAGTGAGGTCAAAGCTCAACCTGGACCATACATAGTGAGGCCTTGTCAGAAACAAACAAATCTTCAAAGAGTTGGTTATAGCAGTGCATGGTTTTAATTCCAGCACTTGAGAAGTTAAGATTGTGAGCTCTGGGGTAGCCGGGGCTACACAGTGAGACCATGTCTCAAAAGCTAAAAAGAAGAAGGGGGAAGAGGGGAATCTGTAAAGATAAGCTGCTATAACTAGTGGCAGTAGGGTAATAAACAATAAAATGTTGCCTAAGAACCTGTTAAGCAAGAGGAAATTTGGGGGCAACAAAATAAAATGGGGTTTATGTGGACCATTCCTGTGCCAAGCAGAAAGCCTGCTCCCTTAGAGGAACTCCCAGACCAGCTGCTCTGCTTCCCCACTGCGAGGTACAGACCTCTCCCTCTTCCCCGAGCGTTCACCAGAATGCTGGCTAAAAGTAAGAATCCACACTCTCAGCCTCTGCACTAGCTGTTTAATCCACATCTATTCTCTTTATATATTAACTAACTACCTCCACTTTTGCTGTGTCCCCCATATTTGTTCTTTCACCTAATACAAGGCTACAGAACAAAACAAAATCAGATGGATCTCAGTTCAAATCCCAGATTGAATGCTGAATAGCTGCATAATATATGCAATCATTTTATCTTGTAGAGCTTTAGTTTCCCCAACTGTATAAAGGGATAATTTTTAAAAACGTTTTCAGGCTGGCCTTGAATTTGCGACGTAACCCAGGCTTCAGACTCAAGATCCTCCTGCCTTAACCGTCCAGGTGCTGGAATTATAGGCACGCACCACCTACACCCAGCTCAAAATGGGGATAATTAATAGCAGCTATCTCCCTGCTCTGAGAGGACAGGGATGAAAAGTGTTTAGCCCAATGCCCAACACACAGTGAACATTCCATAAATGGTGGCTGTCAGCTGTTATTCCGCTATGATCACTTAAGTCATTGAAACTGCACTAACAGAATTAAATCTCAGAGGTCTAAAATGAGCTATCCAAGATCACTCAAGTGAGTTAGTTAGAGAGGGAGCCCAGATTTCCTGGTTCCTGAAATGTTTGCCCTCATTAGCTCCCATACAAACAGCATCACTGCCCAATGTCCTAAAAATCCAGGTCTCTGATCCCATCAAAGTACCAGGGCTGGTAATTTAAAGAGCACTCACATGTGTTAAGAACCATGCGGGCATGAAGGCATCCGCAGGTCAGCAGCAGGTCATCTCACTGCTTCTGACAAGCAGACAACGAACACAGGATCAAGATGTGGAACCACTGCTTGTGGCGCCCAGTGGCAACACTATTTTTTGACCCTCCTTGTTTTAAGAGGATGGATAAAAGTAAGACCAGTGTCCTGGTTGGCTCATTACTGGCTTTGGAAAGGTTTTAGTTTGGGAACAAAAGGAAGGGAGATCCTAAAGACTAGGGTCTACGATAGAGTTTGGCCAAGGGTAAAAGCCACGGGGATAGCCAGCTGGCTAATACCACCAGGTCCCTGTCAGTGCCCCCAAGAACAGCAGTTATGATCTCCACGGTGAGCTTCTTGCTGCACCAAAGCCTGACTCTCCACTGATTGTGCAAGCAGTGAAACCAGAGCCCCAGGAGGCACATTTTATCTCAAAGCATGAATCATCCTTCAGAAACCCAGAAAAGAATCCTCTCTTTGTGGCCCTTCAATCTCCTGCTTGGCTGGCACCCCTAGCTCCTCAGGGCTGGTGTCAAGGCCTCACTAAAACTCGGGGTGAGTGACCTTCCTGGTGGAAATGAACCAGTCCAGAGGCTCATGGAACAGGGGTGCCTCTTAAAAACCGAGACAATGAATGAATGAACAGCTAGAAGGCATTCATCATTCAAATCCAACACCAAAAGCAGTCGGAAGTGGATGATACAGTATGTTCTGAATGAGGGGTTTCTGGATACGAGAGGAGAGGATGGGCTGAAAGTGACCTCTCCAGTTATGTTCTCTATCTACCAGCTCTCCCTGTGTTAGTTGGCAGGTGAAGTCTTGTACACTGCCACGCTTCCACAGGAAGCGGGCTGAAGACACAAGTCTTGTCCATTAGATGCTTTGCCCTAATTTCAACACCATTGCCTCCTTCTGTAGTACCAGCCACAGCGGGAGCCAGGAGCCCTGAAAGGATCTCAAATTCTCTGGGAGCCCATAGAGTAAAGGATAATGGCAGGCTGGATGTTCAGAAGTGGAATTGGTGATGACTGTAGTTATCGTTCAGAATGCCACACTGAATTGTGACCCCAATGCAGAAGCATCGACATGAGAGCAAAATGGAGTTTCCCTTCTGCACCATCCTCTGAAAGGGTGGGGAGCCACTATCACTCTGTGACCTGGACCTCACTGAAAGTATGCACAGGGGAGCTGACTGACATTAACGTGAACCCAGAGTTGGGCCTTATAGCAGAGGAGAGCTGCTGTCTGGCACTGCAGACTTAGGTATGCGAGCCTGGGCACAAGACGTTCCTTTTTATCCTGGGCATATGCAGGTTATTACTCGGCCTCAGGTCATCTATAGACATGTGAACTGGGCATAGCAACCATGTTCTTTCCTAGGAATCAGAGCAGCACAGAGCATCCCACAGCTCGAAGTCTGAGGCAAATGGACCCATCGAACCAAATGTATGTACAGGTACCTGAATTCTGTGAATCCTTATCTCATAATGGAAAAGTATACCCGCTGGCAGGAAAGACAAATTTGCCCAAAGCGCACGCGCGCACACACACACACACACACACCAGTCAAATGTGCTGATCTCAGAGTGACTCAGTTTCCCTAGAGGGAAACCACAACCAAAAATGTTCCCTCCCGCCCCTTCCTCCTGAATCTTACCTTTCAAACACAAACCTTCTGATTTCTGAGGAAGAAATCAGAAGGTTTGTGTTTGAAAGGTAAGAGACAAAAAAAAAAAAAACTTAGCTAGAAAGGCTCAATTTCTTCCTACCAGAACACCAGACTCTCTTCCCATATTCCCTCTTTGGCCAGGTATGGCCACAAAGGGAGCTGAGAGTTTGCCAAAGCAGAAATTATCCATACCTTAAGAAGAATGTTCCTGAAATAAAAAAGCAGAACCCAAAACCACCCATGTGTAATTTGAGGGTGGTGAGAGCAGGGAGGGGGAGGAGAAGGACACACATTTGAGAGCAGTTGGGCTGGGGGAGGGCTTGGTATCTCTTTTCTCCCTCAAGGGCGGCCAGATCTGATCCGGCTGCTGATAAGGCCGGCTTGCCTCCCTCTACTCCCCTGACCCAGGGCTCTCCCTAAGACCCTGGAGGCCCCAGAAACCTCAGAGACCCTTCTCTCACCCTCAATGTCACAACACCCAGGACCCCTCCCAGGAAAAATTCTAGCTGGGAGGAGGAGCTCCAAGACACCCTGGGAACAGGCAAAAGGAAAAAACACCCAACGCCTGTGTGCTGTAGCAACAGCTTTTCTGATAAAACTACACTTTTAAAACCAACACTGAGCATTCATTCCCCATCACAGAAGCTGTAATTTAGCCCTTTCCTGTAAAACGACACTTTTTCCTTTAGAAACAAAATGCAAATCAGATACAACTAGAGTGAACACAGTGTAAGGCTCCCTAACTCATTTGCTATCTTTCATTCAAGGACTCGAGGCACTCGAATAACTTTAGGAATGTAAAATTTCATACCTCATCACTTAAAAAGAGGGAGTCAGGGGAGAATCATTTTCCCAGCCTAACAGTCTGAGGAACAGTCAGTCCCTGGAAAAACCGTTTTATCACTATTGGAGCTGGGGAGGTCCAGCTTCCATATTATCTGCAGCTATGAATAAACAGCTGGCGATAAACCCCACGAGGGATTAGCAATAATCAACCCTGCCCAGTTACAGGGTGAAAGTCCATAGCAGTGGTGCTGGCTGGGCTCTGTCTAGACCCTGCACCTGACCTTAGCTGTAAGCCCAGGGACACAGTTCTAAAAGCCAGGGCCTTTTATTTTCTCTGCTACCCTTACTGATTTTGGAAAATCCACCGTCTCCCACTACAGAATTTTTTTTTTTTTTTTGTATTAGGGATTGAACCCACAGCCCCACGAATGCTAGGTAAACAGTGTTGAGTTACATGCCCAATCTTTTTTATTTTATTTTGAGATAAGGTCTTGCTAATTTGCCCAGGCTGGCCTTGAACTTGCCATCATCTAGCCTCAACCTCCTGAGTCCCTGATATCACAGGCATGGGCCTCTACTTCTGGTTACCTCGGTACTTTTTTTTTTTTTTTTTTTGTCTTTTTCGTTTTTATCGGTACCAGGGATCGAACTCACGACTACCTGCTTGCAAGGCAGGCGCTTATGCCGCTGAGCTAAATCCCCAGCCCCTTACCTCGGTACTTTTAAATGGCATCAGTCAAACTAAATATTGTGTCATTTCTTTCAAACAATGTCCCTTTCTCCCAAATCCCTATCTCCAAACATAGACCCTCCAGGAAGAACAGCCTCACCTCAGCCCTACCCTTCATGGCTCCAGAGAGAATGGTGCTCCAAAGAAAAGTGCCCTGGCCCAACCACTAGACCATCAGCTCACTCACGGCAGAGGCGGAGAGTCCAGCAGAAGTCGGGAGCCCTCCAGTGCCATCTGTCTCCGCAGGCAACCAGATGTAGCTCTGCCTTCTGAAGGGGGGTGGGAGGGCAGCGCTGAGCTCCCAAAGGGCTGTCCTGTCCCAGGATGACAGCCAGCTGGGAGCTGGAGGTATCTCATTCCTGGAGATACAAGGTCAGGGTCTGGGGACCTGGAGCTTGGCCCATTTGTTTTCTAGAGAAAAAAGTACTGTACCACCCAGTGTGGGCCATTCAGTTCCTGGTACAGTAAAGAGAATCCTAGTCTCTCCCACGACCCAAGTCAGAAGGCCAGAGTGACGGTCCATTTGTTATTGGGTTGCTGAAAGTGCACAGCATGGGCCATCAGAGCCCCCAAGGTTACACCAGAGGCCCCTTCCCAGGTCCTGCTCTTGTCCTCTGGGAAGAGACTGGAAGCAGTCTCTGAACAACCAGCTAAGGCAAGCTCTATACCTGAGGCAACCAAACATACCCCCAGACACCCTAGAGAAAGACAGGGAGTGGAGTCAGGGCAGAAGGGATGGGGGTCAGGTTCAGACTGGCCAGAGGCGGACAGGAAGGAAGACACTTGCGAAAGACACCAACGTCTCCGGCTCCCCCGCTCCCCAGCCCAGCCCAGCATCTCCCTCCTTGGACCAGGGGTCAGGGGGGGCCAAAGGAAGAGATGGCAGCCAGAGACAGGGCCAGAGCCCGGATCGGGGCTGGGCATGGACCTGGGGAGAGGAGAACACCCAGGTGTGTAGTCCACCATCACCCAGTGTTTTCATGTACCCCGGGAGAAAGCAGTAGGGTGTTCTAGAAGGGGTTCCCGCTCCTTCAGCAAAGTCTTCTATCTCAAACTCATAAGGGTCCATGATTCCCACACCTAAGCCCTCGTTCCCCAGATTCGACCCAGACTGGCGCCCCCCTCTGTCCTCCCGAGGCAGCCTCGGGGTGCTTTCTGCCCAGGGGAAGAGGTGTCAGCCTTCCGCTGCCCAGGATCCCACGCGGACCCTTCCCCCTCGCATACCCCTGGCACCCCTTTGTTTCAGGCAGGGAAAGTTGCCAACGCGCACCCCTTTTCCCAACACGCCCCCCTGCGCGCCCATCCCCCGCAGGGAACCAAGTCCCGGCGCACCGGCTCCTTCCTCTGCAGCTGGCGCTCGAGCCGGGGCAGCAGGCGAGAAACCGAAAGCAAAGAGGCGGCGGGATCCGGCGGCGTCCTCCCGCTGGCCCCGGCCCTGTCTTCCCCATCACCTCGCCCACCGCTCGCGCCCCCCGCGCACGGCCCCCTCCGGCGGCGGCGGAAAGGCCTCTCTGCGGGCGTCGCGGGCACCTACCGGTGCGGGGCCCGGCGGGGCCGCGGGCAGGGCAGGGCAGGACGGGAAGGGCCGGCCGGCGGCCGGGCGCAGGTGCGGCCCGCAGCGCAGTCTCCCCGCCGCTCCCGCTCCTCCTCCGCGCGGACTCGGGGCGCTCTCCTGCGCCGCCCGCTCCCCGCCCCCACGCCGGCGTCCCCCCACCCCCGCGGTCACCGGTGCCTCCCCTCGCGACCGCCCGCCCGCCCGCCCGCGCCTACGACCGCATCGCGGGCCGGCGCCCGCCTCGGCGGCGCCGGGGCCGGGGGGCTGCAGCCGCCGCTGCCTGGGAGGAACCGAGCCTCGGCGGCGGCAGCGGCGGCCGCGGCGGCACTCACCCATAGTACGGATGCGGTGCAAACTGCACATGCTCGCGTCTGACAGGCGCTGCCCTCCGCCCTGCTTAACTCCTGCGCGCCCGCCGGCGGCTGGCCCACACCGGCCGGCCCTCCCCCGTCACCTGGAAGCACCCGCATCCCTAGTGGTGCAGGTGGCTGCGGTGCAGGGCTCTGGGCCTCTGTGCCCCACCCCACCACCCAACTCCTGCATTTGAGGTTGCAGGACCGCGTGTACCGCACCACTGTGAGTACTGTGCAGGCCCGGGCTACCTGAGGGTCACTTGGTATTGCAAAGCCAGTGTGACACCAGCATTGTATCCACATAGTCCACTCATTGAAACAGCCTTATCCGTTTATGCTCATCTCCAAGACAGAGAAACAGAGGCCTATGGAAGTGTAAGGAATTGATTTGCCTGAAGCCAGGCCTGAACCTCTCAAGTCCAAAATTTAATTTATGCCAAAAAGATTAAACAGGGTACTACTGCAGGCTTACCCACAGGGACAAAGAGCTCTCAGAGGTCCAAGGCAGTGTGGAGTCTTATAAGAAAGGGAAGCTGATGTTCATCTAGCTGGTCTTGCCCCTCTTGGGCATGGAGCTGGGCTGCTGTTCTATTTTCTAAACCTTATCTGGTACTGTGTCTTCCCTCTGATTTTCTGATGGGCCCATGCGTCTTCCATTAACCTCCTGTTCCTGGGCAGGGTATTCAAAGACCAACTAACATACATCCCCAAACTGGGATTTGGTAGTATAGTCCAGAGCTCTAAACCCATCTCCTTGTACACCCTGTGCATGGGGTGGCCAATGCAATGTTCTCTAAGGAAACTGGATTTCTGACAGGGACAGAGTTTGTTCCTTAAACCTGTATAGGAAGGAAATAGCCAAGAGAGTCATTGGCCTTCCTAATCCTCCTTTGTATAATGGATATCTTCATATCACTGGCTTCAGAAATATACATAATGCCTCAATGATGTTGTACATGTAAAGTCTTCAGTGGGTTTTCAGTAACATGAACTATTTTCTGTGGGGGAAAGACGAAGAAAAGGAAAAAGGGTTCAAGGCCATATGGGCTGTGCCTACCAGGTTGTCAGAGAGACAGGAGACAGCTCCCCGCACCACATACCCTGGCGAGAAGCAGCTTCATCAAGATCCAGCTGGCCGAGAGCAATGTCCTGTGCACCCCTTGTTATGAAGTCATAGTGTTCCCACTGTCTCTGATGGTTTGGCAGCTGGCTCAGCTCTCTCTCTCTCTCTGGCTCTGGGAGGCAGCATTGCTTAGAGGAAGGCATAATGGGCTGGAAAGGCAACAAGATCTGAATTCCCGGCAACTTAGCTATTAGGCATAGTAAGCAGGCAGGGTGCCTAGTGCCAACAATATTTTTAGGGATCCAGAGAAAGGAATTTCTCTTAAAATCGGAGGCAAAAAGTAAACCTTGAGGTCAAAGGAATTGTTTTCATATATAATATTAATATTTTCATTTTTAGGAGAGAGGCCAAGTTACAGTTACTGAGCCAGAAAGAAGGAAGGTTAGGAACTAAGGCACAGGATTAGGCGGTCTTTACCTACCTCTCCTCTGGTCTTCACAACACAAATCAGGATTTTCCTCATCCTTCCATTATGGATCATTTCTTCCTTATAAAATTTATATAATACCTTACAATTGACATCTCTTCTTTCCTTCTGTTTTTTTCCCCCTTTTTGGGGGGTGGGGAGTTGAGTCAGGGTCTGGCTATGCAGCCCAGGCTGGTCTCAGACTCACAGCAATCTTCCTGCCTCAACTTCCTGAGTGCTGAGATTATAGGCAGGTACCACCATGGCTGGATCATCTCTTCTTTCTTTACATAAATAAGGAAATCAAGGCCTAGAGAGGATATGTGGTTTGGTCAAGGTTAGATTGCTAGGAAAAGCACAACACAGTTCAAACTGAGATCTTTCAGCATTCTGTCCAAGGTCCTTCCCATCTGCACCAAGAAAATTTCAAATAAAATCAGGCATGTACAAGGCAAAGCAGTCTGCTACAGCAGAGGACCTCAAAATAGCATCTGTGGCAATGAGTGAGCTCCCTGGCTTTTCACCCCAAGAACTCTGAGACCTGTATGCAGAGTTATGGGAACAGGAGGGAAAGTGGCCATAGATGAACGGAGGCACAGTGATCATGGCGGTAGAGACTTAGGTACAGGTTGAAAGTAGAGGGTCCCAAGTCAGGTGTAGTGGTGCACACCTGTGGTCCTAGCACTCAGGAGGCTGAGATAGGAGGATTAGTAATGAGTTCTAAACCAGTGTGAGCTACATAGAGTTCAAAGTCAGCCTGAGCTGCATAGTTGTCTCAAAGAACCAAAAAAAAAGAGGGAGTCCCTGGGACAGTATAAGCTCCTACACTGATACATACCCTCTTTTCCTTCTTGTCTCATCAAAGTAAATGGAACAGGGCCAGGGGTTAGCGCAGCAGCATAAGTGCCTGCTTGGCAAATGCAAGGTAGTGAGTTCAATCCCCAAACCAAAAAAAAAAAAAAAAAAGTAGAACAGTGTGGTGGACCAGACAGACATACATTTTACACAGGAAGATCTGGACTCAATCTACTTTTAAAACAGGGTCTTGCTCAAGCTGACCTCAAACTTGCCATCTTCTTGCCTCGACCTCCTGAGTTCTGGAATTATGGGCATGTGTCATTATGTCCTGGCTTAAAGGTTCTTAATTGACTGTTATTTGTAACCCTAAAACCAGGCAACATTTCATTCTGTTTCATATAATGAGTGTTGCCCAGACTTGGATTTGAGTTCAGACTCCACATCCTGATAGTTGAGCATCTTAAAATGGTTCATTTAACATTTCTCGACCTATTTCCTTATCTGCAAAAACAGAAGTAGAGTTAACACCCACCCATAGGGCCACAGTAAGAATAAGATGATATATATTAGGTGCTTCTCATCAGTGCCAGACACGGAGTACCGAGTCAATGAGTGGCAGGAGCACCACACTGTCCTGGAAAGTGCCTGCCATCACATGCAGTCAATGGTAGCTCTCTTTATGACTCCATTCTCCTACCTGGCAGTAAAGCAATCTTGCAAGTATCTTCGTAGTTCCTAAAGTGCCTTGAATATGTTAGATTCTTAGGCCTATTTTCTGAAGGACACGAACCCTTCTGTCTTGCCTTGAGAGCAAACCATCCATAGAGGGCTTGCTCTTGTCTCCACCGTAAGGAATGTTCTTGATGACTTTTGAAGGGAATCAGAAAGATTCCTTAATGCTTGTTAAGATTGGTTCCCTGGGGGTTGCCCTCTGACTGAAAGTCAGGAGAGCTGTGACTCAGGAGAATAATTTCAGGGGATGGACTGGCCCACAGCACAAAGAGAAAGAGTCCGGGAAGGAGCACTGGAACTGGAGATCAAGGGAAGGTCACCTGCAGTCTGTTACACGTACTGTGATGAGAGAGAAGAGCGGCAGAAACAGGAAACATTGGTGCCGCGGGCAATCTTGAGTTTGGAATCAATTGAATCCACTTTACAGGAAAATATCTGAAAGGAAAGCAGAGAGATGGGTGTTTGGTGCCATCTTAGTGAGATGCTGGCGTTTGAATGTAGAGGGACAGCCCCTTCTTAAAATGGGGGGGGGGCGTGGATTTAGCTCAGTGCGGAAAGCCTTGGGTTCAATCCTGGGCGAAGGGCGTGGGAAACTAGCACCGGTCATGGGAAGTAACTTACAGTTTCCACAAGGCTTTCTACTGCCAGAAAAACTAGTCTCCAATCCTTTTATCAAGTGTAGAGTCAGTTTTTCCCAGGTTAGGATGCACATCCAACCTTCCCTATTGGCTGAGCAGGCCCCCTCATATAAGCTCTATAGCATCAGATGTGAGGTGAGCAGTGGAAGAAAAATCAAAGGACTGCTACCAAAAAGGAGAGGAAAGGCTGCTGAGGGACCCCATACAGCAAATGTCCATGAGAAGTACAAATATGCCACACAGGGAATTTATACCTGACTCAGTGCTTTTATAAGGTTCTTTTTTGTAACTTTTTTTTTTTTTTTTAATCTTTTTGAGACACGATTTTGCTGTGGAGTTCAGGATGGCTTGAACTCACTTTGTAGCCCAGGCTGCCCTCAAACTTGCATTAATCTTCCTGCCTTAGTCTCCCAAGTGCTAGAATTACAGGCATGTACCACCATGCTTGACCTCTTTTTTGAAATTTTTAAAAGTTTTTCA